CTGGAAGGTAGTTTTGAGAAATGTCCACATTATTTTACAGATTAATGCTATTCGACCTAGTGTAAACATTGCATTATTCTGAAATTCATGTCAAGACTGTATATCATTTCAAACATTTAGGTTCTATAAATTGTGCTAAGTTCACTGCGTTAGAAGAAAAAATCTCAAATCCTTTATGAACATTGGAGATGTTGAGGTTATCAAACAGGAAAATTATGGAGTCTGATTGGGTCTGACTGTCTACGTTCCGGAGGAAGTCTAGTTCTGCACTCCATGTGAACAAATCGTTACCCACCACATGTACAATGGTCTGTCGTATCAGTTGGATAAGAAACCAGGCTGTGCAGGTTTTCCATATCAATTTATATAATTAGACTGAGTGCAGGTTTTCCATATCAATTTATATAATTAGACTGCACAGAAAAACATGGACAGACTCTAAGGATGCATTCATAACTTAAGTAATCAGTCTTGTAATCAAGGATAATTTATGATGACCTATGTTGAAACCAAAGTATGGCCTGGCTGGTAATTATATATATATATAATTAGTGTTTTACTGATACAACTGTACAGGGAACCTCCCTATTCAATGTCCGCCTAATCGTGTGTTCTAGCTTCTCAACTATTACACATTAAAAGTATAAAACCCTCATGATAATACACAACAGACAGCAAGTTAATTACAATCTGTAACATTAGGACTTTATACACCACTTTTACCTGCGATTCCACAGATTTACCTGTCTCAGTTGTTGTACATAGTGTAGTAAATAAAGGAGAATTGTACTAATTTATGATTCTACACCATTAGCTGGAGATTACCAGTAAACGGAAATTCACAGCCCAAGTCTGATAAACTGGCAGAAATAGCCTTGCCAAGAACTTGTCAAGGATCAGTTGAACTCTACATCCTGACTCTGGCAGGACCACGCTTCAGCAACAGACAGGAACAGCATGGCTTTAATAAGGCGAAAACAAAAAATAAACAAATATAAGTACAAAGTATGTCAAATAAATAGAGCCCCAGCTGGGGATGCTAATCCTGGCACACTCCCACCTCCATAGAGTTTACTCTGCAATATGGACGACGACTATAAAACTAGGACTTCTCCAATAGGCTGTGTAATGTCACCTTCCCATAACAATTTAATCCAAGTAATACCACTGCTATGTCAGACTCACTATGTCCATTTGTTTACTAAGTATCTAGTTATAACTTCACATGATCTAAAGTGATTTCTAAAATGCCCAGAGGTTTTTTAGACACCATGACCAATAGATGAATCATTTTTCAGATCATAGTCATAGCTCACGATTCCATGGTGTTTTTTCATATGATTTGACAAATTTGTGGTTCCTCCCGTATACGCTGTTTCCATGTGACAAGTTTTACAAATTGCCTTCTTGTCATCTTTAATTGCAATACCGTAATACTGCCAAACTTTCAAAGTGAATTTTGACGGAACATTTTGATAGGGCAGCTCAGCCATGTTTGCAGACAACAATGTGATGCCATCATCCGAATGCTCGTATAATTACAATTCAAACTTTACTTTTCATGTAAATAAGACGAAACTGCTCATTTAATTTCTAAATATATTTTATTTTTAAGAAACCTGTAACGAAGTGGAAATAATTTTCACGCGCTTTGATATTTTAATTCGAAAACAACGCAACCACTAGCTTTACAGTTTACATAGTTTTTTTTCATTTACTTCCGGTACATTAATTTCGGATATCGGTACACACAATACTACGAAAAAGGTTTGTTTCGAAAAGAAATTGTGCTTTTTAAATGAAAAATTCAATTGTTTTAACATTTTCACAAAGATCGCGATCTACTGACCTCAGATATAACGATTATCCGTACTTGTTTTTCAGGTTTTACTCGTGGATATTTGAGTATCCGGATACTCGCTACAGCTCTATCTACCAATTGAGCTACCAGGTCGCCGAAGACTCAGTCCAGTTCTTCTACATTCCTCCCTCCTTATTCTTAGTCCTCACCCCTGAAGACATCACTATTTACAACCCTGGTTCGGGTATCCCCTTGCCAAGTGTACACCCATTGCTTGAAACAAGTGTTGGTTACAGGCACCACTACTGTAACAGGAGATGGGAAAATGCACAGCGAGACCAGGGCTCGAACCCAGACCCTCCGCATTCTAGACGGAAAAATTTAGCTACCTGGTTGCCGATGATCGACTCAGTCCAATTGTACTACATAATATATAATCAATATATCTCTGCATTCAGCTACATGTCAAGCAAATCAAGTGTCTTGGCAAATTAGGTTTATCACCCCAATCATTTCTAGTGGTTGTTCTGGTTTATATTCACTATACATGTAATAATTCTACTTCTACATCCCATCAACAGCTACATCCCACATGACCTTAGCTGTTGATGGGATGTTAAACTCTATACAATCAATCATATATACCTCTGCACAACGTATCTGATAAGTGATGGATTAAATTTTGAAATCTTATGGTATTAAATGATATTCTGATTTCCTCAATACTGCCATATATTATTACAGAATGTTCCTCAAATACACTATATGGAGAATTAGGAAAACACGACCACCAGAAATGATGTATGATAATGTGACAACAAATTTGCCATTATCCTTGGAGATGACAGAGATACAAATATATGGACAGGACTGATAACTCTAGGAGCGACAGATGTAGCAGTTGCTTTGTTTCTATCATTTTCATGTTTGGTGGTTTTCAAATTTAAGATCACCATATTCTGACTACAATTACAGCCTTTCAACAAAAAACGGCATTCAATGTGTATAATTTCTAATTGATCATGTGATTTGATCGTCTCGTAACTTTATAAAGTGACAATATTATGACGGCTGTGTTGGCACACTAATTAACATACTGAATTGTCCATCATCAAGGAATGCTATACCACTGATTTAATTCAATATTCTTATCTAAATACCTAAATAATGAGGAAGGCCGACGATGGCGTTTCCTAACCTGCGAGTTTCGACAGACTTCCTTCTGTTACCCAGAGTTGATTGAGTTACGTGACTTTTGGTAATTATTACAATTTAACAGACACGGTGATCTATTCACCAACAGTATAATCTAAAACATTGTTGAGAATCCCATTCACTCTGGGTAAATCAGACCAATTCCTGCATTCAGTGAATACAATCAGGGGAGGTGTTCCGCTCTGGGTTTTATGGGAGAAGAAAGAAAGCAGACAAGCTTAAAATTTGTTAAACCAAGCAAATGTGTGAGGAGTAACTTTAAATATACAGCAGACAGAGCAACAATGAATCAGTTTTTGAGTAAGTGTTATAAAAAGTATCCAGGGTGTTGGGTTATCCTAACACAAATGGGTAGAATTTAACACCTGGTCAGCTTGGGTTTTATGTCTGGTTAGTTTTTTCATGCTAAGTTTATATTTCATGTCTTGTTAGTTTATTTTCACGTCTTGTTCAGTTCTAGATGCTAAATTCTAACTTTTTCTCAGTTTACATTTTCCCCTACACTTTTTGTAGCTCCGACATATCTTGCTTGGTGTCACAATATTTTCCAAACTCTGCAAAAACTGCCGACAAGTATGAATACTTCTCTCTAATGAGTGATGTATATAAGGCAATAAATTCTAATGTTTTTAATGTTTTTTAAATGCAAAGACAAATATTTAAAAGAATGATGATGTCCTCTGCAGGGCTAGTTGTAAGAAGTCTTTATATTCAGATTTTTTCTCTCTAATCAAATCCAGAGATCACAGGAATTTCCAAATACTATCATAAATTATTGATACAAGATTTATGATTTAAATAACAGAAAAGGTTAAGTTAACAGTTCTTTCAACAATTTCAGCACAGTGAGTATGTTCATTGAAATGGGTTTAAATAATACCTGGTCTGAATGCGGGCCTGACAGGTCATGAGAGATGACCAGAGCTGAACTGACCAGAGGTACAGATCCACCGGGTGGGTAGGTACATGGTCACACAAAGCCCTGATAGCACCTCCCCCATACCCTAATCCATCAATGGGAGACAGCACCCAATAAATCTATCACATACCAAACACCACAGAGCTTCTACACCAGCCAAGTAGGCCCTTCCATATGTCCAGCATGGAAATAATGTGATGGTCAGTTAACCCTGTTCATGTACCTGCATTTCCCTGGGGTAGTTAGTTTGATATAAATAGCTGTTGATTATAAATCCTATTTATGCACAGTCCAATCAGGAAAATAGGTAAAACTGAATCTCTACACCAAGTTTTTCAATTGCCTCCATAATCTCCCACCAGTTTTATGTTCGGAATACAGAATGAATGACTCTTTATAAAGTACCTAGTAGATGTCCAGCTAATATTCAATTAATATTTATGGATCTCAAAGTGGGGATTGCCTTTGAAGGCTTAAGGAGGGGAGTGAAGAAAGCTTCATGAAAGGGGGTTAGGCTCCAGGGGAGTACAGTATTCCAACAAGAATGCCTTGTATAATCATACTGCAGTTCATCCAGTGTTAATATGTAAATGGCCTGAGTCCAGAGCTGAGAGGGAGGGGATGGGGAAGCTTACAGGGAGGGGAGGGCGGGAGATATGGGAAATAAGGTCAGAGGCTAATAAGTCAAGCATTAAAATCTTAATGGCAGTAAACTAGACACTTTCTGAAGGATTAGGGTAATGCTGGCTACAAAGTTCGCACACATTAATCGTTGAATGCCCCTGGAGGCAGGGGAAGCATCAAACACAGCAGTGAATTTTAAAAAGTGGGGAAATCTGCCCAAGGTGACTGAGGATGATTTACATCCACATTTTATGGGAGAAGTACCAAGGTTAAAGATGTCTTATCACTAATTCCAGGGTTTAGTTTTCATGTAAGATCGGGAGGGGAGGGTACACTTTAATTTATAAAGGTGTCTAACAGTTGATAAGGAATGGAGGTAAGTCATGTACATACCTTACTGGATTTTAGTCTTGGGATGAAAACTGCCACAAAAACACCTACCTTTTTTACTCGGCCGTTTTTTTCCTCCTCCGGCCTCCACATGACAGGCGAGCACCAGAGAAATCAGCAGTATTTTCCAAGTCACGGAAATCATTTTTCCCCGTGGAATCATTTTAGATTAAGGTTCTCCAAAGAAAATTAATTCACAAAATAGCCCAGGTAAAATTATCTATCCATGGAGCGAGGTGAGCGCACGGCTGGACCTTCCCTCAGTGATCGTCTGCTCTTAATACCGTGGTAAACTGAATAATCGCTTCCACGTGCGTTCAGCCAGGCCCACAGGAAATATGACGGATCTGCAAAAATTACGGTCATAAGTTATAGACACATACGGCCTTATATAGGTTTATAACTGGGACTGTAAAAAACGCACTGACCGTAACGCCTCTAATATGCTACATACAATACGAGTCTGTTCAGTAAAAGTAGGCAACGCTAAATAGAAAACCTACCTGTAAATTCCCGGAGCGCAAAAAAGTACGGTGTTTCCGAGATATTAAAATATGGCTACATCCGCTGGGAAAAAAGTTATCTTTCAACAAAAATTATCAGATATCAGCTAACAAGTTCAACAGCGTCCCTATAAAAACATTTAGCTGTAAAACATGACTATATAGCTGTACTTGACTCGCTGTTTCCCTGTCCGCCTGTTCGGAGCAGACCCCGAACACTGAATTAAACTTCAAAGGAGCGCGCGCCTCACGAGTCGATCCAGCCACGTGCTCTCCATAGGGGAGCGACAGCTCTGGTCACCGGGGTTTATAAATATACGATGTTGCAGGATTCTTCACAATCTTATAACGAGTAAAAACAGTGTGTAAAATAAATAACTTAATACCTTCCATTAAACCTTTTTAAACCTTTTAAACCCACTTGAGCCACGAGTACTTGGAAATATACACAAACCCGATGTGTAATACACAAACGTGTCACACCAACATACAACTGTAAACAAACACAACACGTAATACCAACAATCACCCGTCCGTGACGGCACACAATCGGGTCCTGTTTCCAAGTTTATTTACTATGACATAATCCAAAGATATTTCATAATAGCTTAACAGTTTAATCAATCGACTGAGTGCCCTGGATTACACGGAATTAGGCTCAGATTTCTAGCGTCACACTGACGTTAGGTTTTGGTTCTAGTCCTTATTTCGTGGTTCGACTTGACCAGGTCAGTTAGGTATTTAGACACTCGGTAGGTCGAACCGAAGACTGTTCAAAGGCTATATAAGACCTAAGATTATATTNGGGGGGGGAGGCGGTAAGCGTTATAACCGAAAGTTGATCAACATTGCCCTGGACACATTAGCTTAGGTCCAAACATGAACAATTAACATGGAATGTAACGCATTGACTCTCATGTTTCTGTGTGAGTACAAACTGATGGATTGACTCTGCTGCCTCTAATATAGGCTGCTCTTGGCATTTTCCTGGTTGATGTTTTTTGTATTTAATCAGATTTGGGGAACTGTGGCTGTGAGGCGTAGCTAATACTTTCGGACAGATTTGTACCGTACCACAAACAGATTTTAGCCAGGATTCTGCTATAAGGAGAGGCGGTCTGAGGCGATTAATAATCTTTTAAGTTTATGAGTAACCAAAATCCAGAGGTATTGTTGCACGACTATAAAACTAACGTGTAAACTAGTTTGGCCTGGTCGTGAAAATTCCAGCAAAAACCGGAGAACCTAATGCTATCGGACTGAGTCGGCGATAATAGAAGACGTAGATTAGTTTGTAATGGGTAGATAAGAGCTAGGACCTTGGTAGTTGTGGGTAGGTTATGGGTAAATAAGGTAGGATTAAGGACCTCGGTAATTGTGGGTAGGTTATGGGTAGGTATAGGTTTGGGCTAGGACATCCGTAGTTGTGGGTAGGTTATGGGTAGGTAGATAAGGGCTAGGACCTCGGTAGTTGTGGGTAGGTTATGGGTAGGTAGGTTTGGACTAGGACCTCGGTAGTTGTTGGTAGGTTATGGGTAGGTAGATAAGGGCTAGGACCTCGGTAATTGTGGGTAGGTTATGGGTAGGTATAGGTTTGGGCTAGGACATCGGTAGTTGTGGGTAGGTTATGGGTAGGTAGATAAGGGCTAGGACATCGGTAGTTGTGGGTAGGCAGTGGCGGATCCAGAGACCTATCTGGGGGGGTTTCCAAATTGCCTGGGGGGGTTTCGAAATTTCGTGGGGGGGTTTCCATGTGGGGACAAATTGAGGAAAATGGGGAAAATACATGATTTTTAAAGAAAATTATCGGGGTGGGGGGGTTTCCTGAAGCCCATAAAACCCCTCTGGATCCGCCACTGGTAGGTTATGGGTAGGTAGATAAGGGCTAGGACCTCGGTAGTTGGTGTAGGTTATGGGTAGGTAGGTTTGGACTAGGACCTCGGTAGTTGTTGGTAGGTTATGGGTAGGTAGGTTTGGACTAGGACCTCGATAGTTGGTGAAGGTTATGGGTAGGTAGGTTTGGGCTAGAACCTCGGTAGTTGTGTGTAGGTTATGGGTAGATAAGGGCTAGGACCTCGGTAGTTGGTGAAGGTTATGGGTAGATAGGTTTGGGCTAGGACCTCGGTAGGGGTAAGTAATGGGTAGATAAGTTTGGACCAGAACCTCGGTAGGGGTTAGTAATGGGTAGATAAGTTTGGACTAGGACCTCGGTAGTTGTGGGTAAATAATGGGTAGATAAATTTGGACTAGGACCTCGGTAGTTGGGGGTAAATAATGAGTAGATAAGTTTGGACTAGGACCTCGGTAGTTGTGGGTAAATAATGGGTAGATAAGTTTGGACTAGGACCTCGGTAGTTGTAGGTAGGTAATGCTAGATGAGTTTGGGCTAGGACCTCGGTAGGTTTGGGCTTGGACCACCGTGGTAAGAATAGGTAATTGGTATATAAGTTTTGATTTGGACCTCGGTGGTTTCGGTAGGTATAGACAAACCAGTTCGGACTGGGACCTCGGTAGGTATGGTAAGTAATGGGTAGATAATTTTGGCTAATACCTCGGTGACAGGGGTATACATACCAAACACTAGACAGATGGGTATTACCACCAATAGCTACAGACAGATAGGTATTGTACCTGTATTAGACTATTTTTAACCATCACAATGGCGTTGGGAGGACGAAGTCACCGGGACATGAGACCACGTTACGTCACATGTCCGGATATTTATAGGATCAAGATAACGCAACACAATAAAACCGACTGCGGTGTAACTATGGTCAGTTAAATGCCTACTATTACACTTACTGCCGTATTACCCCATTCAATGTTTCATTTATTTTATCGCTAATAACTCCGTGGTAAAATGAAACCAGTGTTTAACAGGCAGAAAGTTGAATACAGTTTCCCGTTGACGGAACTTTTTGTCTGATCAGAGACGTATAAAACCAATGTACATAATCGTGTAGATAATCATTAAATCTGTCGGGTCCACCGGATATAGAATAAGTTGTAAGCGCAAGCAGTAGCATGTTAGTTTTATCTAGATAAATGTTCATTCCAAGTCGTTTGTTTTCCCATAATTAAATCATTGAATTGTTAGTCGCAGCACGGTAGTAAACGCCCCAGATAACACGGGAGCGCCGCCCGGGTTGTCACCCCTTGGGCGTTTATCCCTCCCAAAGTATAATGATCCTTATAAGGTATAGCTTAGTTTTGTGTTAACTTTTCTTGCAGTTTTTAAGTTTGATTGGTCAAGACAAACTTACACACATTTATTACCAGTATGTGAGACCCTTCTGTATCAATAGCGGTATAGGCCGAAGTATAGCATAGGTTAGAACTTCCCCGCTAAAGGTACAAGTGTAGATGAAATAATTGCAGTATGTTGGCAGACTTGGTCTTAAAATGATAATAATGTTTTGATACACAAGATACACTCAAGAGAAACAAGAAAGTAGTTTATCACGAAACTTAGATAAATTAACAAAACAAACCCGTCCCCAACCAGTTAAAAACAAACCCGTCCCCAACCAGTTAAAAACACATAAATGAAATATTCTCATTGCACATGACGACCTACCTGGATCATGTCAGAGAATGGATATTTTATAGAGCTGATGAATAAAAAATAATTTAAAAAGATATAGAGATTTATGTTTCTTAGCAGACAGAGGAACAGCCAATAATAAAACCAAATATCTTTTAAAACCAAAGTCAGCTTTAAACGTATTTCAGTGATATACACCACCCACTACCCCGTGGTCTGTACGTCCTTCAGGACAGATCGAAATCTCGCCGTTAATGACGTAAACAGTTGACGCTTTCTGTCTGAGTGTCACAACAGTTTATGTCATACTGTACAGATAGTTCTGGTCCAGAACTCCCGGGATTATTTCCGAGTATTTATCCCCATGTCTCCGTTGGTTAGCACGCGACTCACTACGCCACATTCTCAAAGTCAGATATCTCCATAATTGGAAACGATTTCTAAACTTTGTTTTATAAAAAGTATATTCTAGTAAGTATATTATTTACTTTTATGACGATGAAAACCCTTTTGCCCACAAACATATTCCAACACCATATCGCGAATCTGGAAGGCGCGCTTTTTCTCAAATAAACTGATATTTCGTGTTTACCCGTTGGACGTCATAAATGGTGTCCTGATCAGTGTGACTGGATACTTAAATAGTTTACTCGTTCAACGTCATCCACGGACTACCCTGTGTATACACATCAAACCAACGCAATATTGTTTGTTCCGAAGTGTTTAATAGGTAACACAAATAACACTAAGTAAGTAGTGTTACATTGTGCCTCCTATACTATAAGTGTTTTGTTGTAGGTCATTGGCGTATACGTTAATTGTGACTGGGCAGTATTGTGTTGTACTGTACCTCATGTACCCTCGCCCTAACATCGTGATACTCTCCTACTGTCCCCCATGTCCCATACGTCCACTTAGCCGGCCACGCCGAATTTTATCCACAAATGATACATTTGAAATGACTGACCACTCAAACAAGAATCGTTTAGTCCGTCTACACTATACTTTAAATAAAACATAAATGAGAGTTTCTCCGCCGGATTTCCTCACTCAATACTACTCACTGCTGTGAAGCTATCGGTGCCCGCACCATCAGGTACGCACATCCCATGATGGCGACGGACTCAAGGACTTCGGTTAAAGTAACATCCCAACGTAACTTTATACATTTGATTACCACCAACATTTGATCATTGATTGCTGATATCACGTACTGACACGGTATTCTAGTCTGAACGTGGCGGCTCCAGAGTTCTTAGGTGTTCATATTATGTCAATTGTTAAAAAAAAAACGGCTTATACAGATTACCATATTTTTCTTTCCGGGATACATGAGGCTAGAGGCTAACAAGACGAGTGAACGGTGGTAACGATAAATCAACTTTATATTTCTTCTCTTTACAAACTTACAACGGTATACAAAATTAAATGTTATGTATTTTATGAGGATACATCATGTGCTTATTTCTAAACAAAGATTTAGGGACTTTAACAGGCAACTTAGTTTCTCTTATCGTCCCTCGGCGGCGAACGGTGATTATCGTTCATTTGCCTCCTGTATCATAACCAGACTGCCTGTGACGTTGAATAACGAAAGACAAATGGTAAATCAGCCACCGTAGAAATGAGATCGACAG